GTCTCCACCATCATCTATGAAGAGCCTCTGAATGATGGTGCAGTGGGAGTTAGAGCACATAGGGATGTTACCCCAAGTCATGCTATACAGCAGCCAGAATTAAGAGGACACACCAACATTTCCTGGTAACATAAAGAAGCTACTTCCACATCTTTGAGCTTGGAAGAATCAGGTGGAGTGGTCCTTTCAGTTCCCAAAGCCCAGATGTTGACCAGAAAGGGAGATGAAGACAAAGAGAACATCTGCATAGATAGAGCCTGAACACACAAAGAGGGTATGGAGGGGAGACACTAAATCTATAGCATTTTGGATGGGATGATTTCTTTTTTTCCTTTTATTTTATTTTACAGCACCATTCAGTTCTACATATTAGCCACGGATTCCCTTGTTCTTCCCCCTTCCGCCCCCCTCCCCTTTCCCCCAGCCTACCCCTCATTCCCACTTCCTCCAGGGCAAAGCCTCCCCTGAGGACTGAGATCTACCTGGTAGACTCAGTCCAGACAGGTCCAGTTCCCTCCTCCCAGGCCGAGCCAAGCATCCCTGGATAAGCCCCAGGTTTCAGACAGCCAACTCATGCAATGAGCACAGGACCCAGTCCCACTGCGTGGATGCCTCCCAAACAGATCGAGCCAATCAACTATCTCACCCATTCAGAGGGCCTGATCCAGTTGGGGGCCCCTCAGCCATTGGTTCATAGTTCATGTGTTTCCATTCATTTGGCTATTTGTCCCTTGGTTTCAACAACTCTCGCTCATATAAACCCTCCTCTTTCTCGCTAATTAGACTCCCTGAGCTCCACCCGGGGCCTAGTCGTGGATCTCTGCATCCAGATCCCTCAGTCGTTGGATGGGGTTTCTAGCACAACTATTAGGGTGTTTGGCCATTGGATGGGATGATTTCTATATTCCACATTGCAAACACCAGGGAGCAGAAGAAAGACAAGACTATCTTTTAGCCTTGGATCAGTAGATGGTCGGAGAAGATCCCTTCCTTTGAGTCTAGGAGGACAGTTGCCAGATACATTTACTGGGAACTTGAGCTCCTGCTGCACCCATGCATCTGTGAGGTCTCCATTTCTGCTGACATACAGGACACTTCACCAAATGGTCTTTAGACTTTCAGTAGCTGTGTCATTTATTTTACTAAGAAATTTTTAATTCATTTTACACCAACCACAGATCCCCCTCTCTTCCCTCCTCCCACTCCTCTAGCCTTCCCCCCACAAGCCCATTCAACATTCTCTCCCCCATCATGATAAGGCCTCCCATGGGGAGTCAACAGAGCCTGGTACATTCGGCTGAGGCAGGTCTTAACCCGTAACACCATAGGCAGTAGGCTCCAAAAAGCCAGCTCATGCACCAGGGATGGATCCCAATCTCACTGCCAGGGGCCCCTCAAGCAGATCAACCTACACCACTGTCTCACTTATGCAGAGGGTCTAGTCCAGTCCCATGGTTGCTCCACAGTTGTTGGTCTAATGATCATGAGTTGCCACCAGTCTGGTTTGATTGTCTCTGTAGGTTTCCTCATTATGATTTTGATGCCTCTTGCTCATAGATTCCCTCTTCTCTCTCTTTGATTCCCAGAGCTCAGCCTGGTATTTGGCTGTGGATCTCTGCATCTGCATCCATCAATTATTGAATTAAGGATCAATGATGACAATTAGGGTATTCACCAATCTGACTACTGGAGTAAGCCAGTTCAGGCACCCTCTCTACTTTTGCTAGTAGTTTAAGCTGGAGTTATCCTTGTGGAATTCTGGGAACTTCCCTAACACCCAGTTTCTCCCTATCCCCATGATGTCTCCCTCTATCAAGATATCTCTTTGTTACTCTCCCGCTCTGACTCTGTTCCAGCTCTACCATTCCATTCCCTTATGTTCTCTTGCTCCATCCTTTACCCTCTATTGCCCCCCCCCGTGCCCAGTGTCACATTTAGAATCTCTAATGTCAATGATTTCTATGCAATGAAATTTGCCTACTTTTAGCATAGATGGGTTAATTTTGCATAAAACTATGACCTGAGAAATCACTTTCACATAAATAAGAGTCTCCTAATTTCACTGGAAGAAGTTCCCTTGAGCGCCTCTCGGTCAGTCATTGCCTGGTCTCTGCTCCAGGGCAACCACTTTCTGATGGTTCTTTTTGGAAACTGCATATAATTTAGAAACATCAGAGTCCTAGCTATCCTATCTTAGAAAAGAATTCCTATGTGACTGGTCCTGTTACTGAGTAAGAGGTCCTGAAGATTCAAGTGTGCTGTATTTGGTTAACAGTGTCATTCCATATATGTACACAACATATTTTACCCAATTCCTAGTTGATGCACACCTGAGTAACCTCATTTTCACTACTTTTATTGAAGCCCTTATGAACTTTGGAAGTATGAGTTTCTGTAATTGTTGTTTTCAATTCCTTGAACTAAAGACCTGGGAGTAAAACTACTCAATCACAGGATAAATGTGTTTTGCTTAAAAGAAATGTCTAACTGATGTCTATAATGACCATATCATTTTGTATCCCCTCCAGTGGTGTATGTAGTGCCAGGAGCTCCATGTCTTTGCCAACACTTGACTTTATGGGTCTTAAATCTGATTATTGAGCAAGGATATAGTAATACCTCATTGAAGGAATTTTCATGGACTTGAGCTCCTACATTCTACTCTCCCTGTCTATCTATCTATCTATCTATCTATCTATCTATCTATCTATCTATCGATCTCATCTCTTTTTTCATTCTCTCTTGCTCTCCATACTCACTCCTGCCTCCCTCCACAGAACAGAGCATGAGTATATTCTTCATTTCACATTTTTACTGTAGCCATGACCATCATCAACACAGGGGCTCTGAGTGATGGTGCAGTGAGTAGCAGAGCACACCAGGATTTTCTTAACTGAGCTACAAACATGTCTGGGCTTAAGAAGCACAGCAATGTCCATGATACATTGGGAATCTAGTTCCTTCATCCCAAGATTCGAGGAACTGGCTACTTCACGGCTTTCATGGTCCAGCTCTTCCTTTGGTTGGGAACTTGGAGTAGAGAAAACATCTTCCAAGAAAGGCTAGGACCACAGAGAGGGCAAGAGTCCATTGAAAAGGTGACATGGAATATAGGGAGCACCTGTTGATCAGAGGAGGCAGGAAAACTGAGCTGTGCTGTGCCAGGTAAACAGCCAGCCAGACACCAAAGAGGAAGTGCCATGCTGTTAGCCTATAAACTATTATTTAGATAATAATGAAGATAATTTGGAGTCAAGGTCAATTCTCAGGTGGCAGTAAAGGCGATTGATACTGATCCCCACACCACTTCCTCTGGGAAATCAGTCTGGACTGAATACGGACTTCTGATCCCGCATCCTTTGATACATCATGTCAGCATTTTATTGTGATTCTGAAACTTCTATTTATAGACTTTTATCTCAGGTTTATCATAGGTTCTGAGACATCAGATTGACCCCAGTGTTGGACCTAGCAAAGCCCATTAAGTGTTTGTCACATGGTTACATGTAATATTGATCAAGGGGTGGCAAGAGAACTTTCCTCCAACCCTGATGACCCAAGTTCCACTTTGGGTTCCATATGGTGGAATTAGAGGAAGTAACTTACACAGAGGAAGGAACTTACACAAATCATCCCATCACCTCCATTTGTGAACCATGGCCTGGGAGCATTCACACACATATGTTCATGAACACAGTAAGAGGGTGCCTGAACTGGCTAATTCCAGTAATCAGATCAGTGAATACCCTAATTGTCCTCATAGAGCCTTCATCCAGTAATTGATGGAAGCAGATGAAGAGATCCACAGCCAAATACCAGGCAGAGCTCTGGGAGTCCAGTTAAAGAGAGAGAAGAGGGATTCTATGAGCAATGGACATCAAGATCATGATGGGGAAACCTACAGAGACAACCTAACCAAGCTACCAGGAACTCATGAACATTAGACCAACAGCTGTGGAGCCTGCATGGGACTGGACTAGGCCCTCTGCATAAATGAGACAGTTGTGTAGCTTGGTCTGCCTGAGGAGCCCCTGGCAGTGAGATTGGGATCCCTCCCTTGTGCATGAGCTGGCTTTTTGGGGACCACTGTCTATGGTGGGATACCTTACACAGCCTTGATGCAGGGAGAGGGGATTGTCCTGATTCAACTGAATGTACTAGGCTTTGTACCTGCCCATGGGAGACCTCATTTTGTTGGAGGAGAGAAAAGAGGTGGGTTGGGCAGGGGGAAACCTGGAGGGGCAGGAGGAGGGAAAGGGGGGGTGTCTGTGGTTGGTGTGTAAAATGAATCAAAAATAAAAAATAATTTTTTCATGCAATAAAAATAAATAATAAATAAATAAATAAATTTAAAAAAAGCATGAACACAGTAAATAAATAAACTCAAACAATTAAACATTTGTTAAATGGATAAATGACTGTGAAGTTGATCTTGACAGGAGCTGGCCACTAGAGAAGACACATCATGAGGATGGAGTAAAGAGGGGCTGAGGACTTTAAAAGAACAGAAGAATTTGCCCTGTGTATTGATCTAACAACTTTGACCTAACATGGAGGTGTCTAAGTAGACCCTAAGATCATTGTAAGGACCAGGGACCCTGGAAACAGGCTCACTGAGTCTCCAATTCAGAGGATTCTTGAGGATGAAGGTCACACTCAAAGCTCCTTTAATGGCCTATCTCTTCTGTGACATCATGAGTAAGTACCTACTCATGAAGCCCTCTATCTTCTCCTGTTACAGCTTTCTGCCCAGGAGTGAAGACAAGATTCCTAGTATCACATGAGAGCTTCAGAATCAACCTTGTGCCTTTCCAGGAAGTCAAAGAGGAAAAAGAAATAGCAGAGGTGACTTTGCCCTAACTTCTTGACACTGGCTCCTATCACTTCTGACTAATCAGTTTTTAAAAAATGAGAACTTTGCCCCACCACACCAAGTTCCTGCCTACATCCTTCTTATTTAAATTCCTGCCTGGGCAAGGCCCACATATTCTGCTTCCTGTTTTTGAAACGTGGGAGTCCTATGTAGCAGCACAGACTCAGGATGAGAGCTGTCATGCCACTGAATCAACTTCATAACTGGCCGAATGCTGTGGTCTTGGGGCTCCTGCTTCTCCTCCTCCATGTGCAGGGTGAGGCTCACTAAGCTGGCAATGGGGAATGACTAGAGGCAGAGCTGCAAAATGCTGCATGTCAGAGCCTGAGCTTGTGGGAGGGATGGCCCAGGGAACATGGGGCAGATTGGGGGATGGATGCATGGGAAACAGGTGCCTCCCAATCTCTTAACCAAAGCCCACTGATTTTTGTGGGCCCACCCAGACCATCAGAGATGTCTAAGATCACTCCAGACTGAGGAATACAGTTCAGTGTAAGGAGCTCTGGACAGTGCTAGACAATTCTAAAGAAAGTGATCAGAAGATGTTTTTCCTCCTTGGTATATAGCTATGACTGTAACTTTTACTGACCTCTGGATAAGAATGACAATAATCATAAATTCATGTGGCCAAATTGCTCAGAGTGTGTAACCTCTTTGGCCCCAAAAATGCTCTGACACCTTTCAACAGGGATAATAGAAAAGGTTCCGGGCCCTGAGGGATAGAGGAGCTCCTATACTCAGACCTCACAGCTGAACTGTGAGGTTCCAGGTTTCTATTCTGTGTGCCCTGGTAACTAGTGAGAGTGAGATAGGAACTCTCACAATCTCTGGTAACTGATTGCACAAAACTAACCCTGATGGCATCTCTCCACCCACAGGTCAGGACTCATCAGAGGCCAGCCCCATCAGAAACACACACACAGGCCAGGTCCGAGGCAGCCTTGTCCATGTGAAGGATACCAAAGTTGGTGTCCACAGCTTCCTGGGAATTCCCTTTGCAAAGCCACCTGTAGGAAAACTGCGCTTTGCTCCCCCTGAGTCCCCTGAGCCATGGAGTGGTGTGAGAGATGGGACTTCATATCCAGCCATGTAAGTTCTGGACCCAGAGGATGTCTGGCCCTGGGGTGAAGAGTTGTTCTGAGCTCTGAGCCATGCTGAAGTCTTTCCTCCATCTCAGCTCTGTAGCAGTTTTCTTCCATTGTGGGGAGTTCCACATGCATTTCCTAACACATGTACTAAGGTTGAGTAGAACAACCTTACCAGTCTCCTGGGTCAGAGATTGGTACCCATAGGGAGTTAGATGCAGATACTATAAAGAGGAACAAAGCTAAAATTGTTCACAGATTCACATTAAGCCCTGTTCTATGCCACAATGGGAGGGATCGCTAGGCATGAGTTGTGTGACATAGTAAGCAGAGAGCACCCCTGAATCCAATACAATTCACTTCAGATCCTCAGGAGTGCAGCATCATGGATACTTGCTAAGCCCACACTCACAGTCACTGTGACAACCTATAGGGCCAGGCACCACTGACCAAGGAGCAAGGATATGTAACCAATTCTCCCTGGAGACAGTGTAGGAAAAAGAAGTTCCCTGAGAGTCTGTATTATAAGGCAGTAGTATCCACCGATACCTCTAGTATCTGTGCATACAAGACTCTAATACTGCAAACTTAGTTTGTTTTTTGTTACTGTAATAAAATACTGACAAAAGCAACTTAGGGGAGAAAGCTGCTGTTTTAGGTTCCAGATTGCAATTCGTCATGTGGGGGAATTCACAGAGAAAGAGAATTATAAGAGCTGGTCACATCACATCTACAGCCAGGAACAGAGAGTAGGAAAAGATTGTATGCCTGTTAACGCTTAGGTCACTTTTCTGTTCTTATGCAGTTCAGTGAATGTGACAAAATACAGCCAATAATCTGCATAGAGACACCTAGAACTCTCTATATCCCAGGCTAGAAAAAACAACATCCAGGCCCAAGCCAACTGGAGTTCTCCCTAGAAATCTGGCTCTATCCCAGTTCTCATGGAGCCTGCGGCCTTTACCTTGGTGGGAAGGAACTTTAGAGGGAATATGTGTTAACAGGGCATCATGAAGAACAGCATTTAAAGGTAGCTTAGAAAAAATCCAGACTCACATTTGATTTTGACCACTGTACATCTCTTGGAGTATCTGTCTGCTATTTCCATCAGGTGTCTGCAAAGCCTTGAAATGTTGAATGCAGAGGGCCTGAAGGATATGAAACTGACCCTGCCTCCCATCTCTATGTCTGAGGATTGTCTGCATCTCAACATCTACACACCAGCTCATGTCCATGAGGGCTCTAAACTGCCTGTGAGTGTGTGACAATGATCAGCTTGGGGACAGGGTATGGTTTTCAAGATGATTAGAAGGGGTAAAAGCAACCTGAGCTCCATTGCAATATGGACTTTGTTGAAAACTCTTCTCCTATTTGTGTCAAAAAAAGGCCTTCTCAGCCATACTATGCAGCTGAAACATGGGTATGGGACACAGAGCATTAGAGTACTGAGTGACGGAAGGCTTTAGTTCTTTGATAAAACCAGGACTCATTCTACATCATGAGCCATGCAGAACCACTTAGGTGCTCAAGTCTCTACATTGAGGTTATTAGTTTCTACTTTTGTGTTATCTGTTGTGCCCAGGAGATTGGTGATCCTTTCCTTTTTTTTTCTTTTTTGGTTTTTCGAAACAGGGTTTCTCTGTGTAGCTTTGCGCCTTTCCTGGAACTCACTTGGTAGCCCAGGCTGGCCTCGAACTCACAAAGATCTGCCTGCCTCTGCCTCCCGAGTGCTGGGATTAAAGGCATGCACCACCACCGCCCGGCAATCCTTTCCTTTTTTAATCTGGAGAAGAATCCATGGAGACAGCCCCTCCTTCTTCCACTATAAAGAGTCTGAATAATTATGACATTACTCTCTACACAATGCCATTAATTCAAACTAAAATACATGGTAGGGATGGGGACTAGAAACATCCTATAGGGCTACTAGAAGTTCCTAGCCATGACCAAGGCCCTGATGTGCTGAGTATTTCTATGTATTTGTGGAGCTGCATAGAGGCACATCATTCGTCTGCTACTCTAGTACGTAGTCTTGCAGAGCTTGGGCTAGATAGGAGCTTCCTGGCATCTTTCTTGACTTTTCCAGGTGATGGTGTGGATCCATGGTGGTGGGATGGTTGCAGGTATGGCTTCCATGTATGATGGATCCACTCTGGCAGCCATTGAAGATGTGGTGGTGGTCAATATACAGTATCGGCTGGGTGTCCTGGGCTTTTTCAGGTGAGTCTAGGACTGGGCTGAGCAGAATCAGTTCAGAACCTAGACAGCCCTTTGATCCATGTCCCTTCCACTTCTCAGCACTGGAGACCAGCATGCCAGAGGCAACTGGGGCTACCTGGACCAAGTGGCTGCCCTACGATGGGTTCAGCAGAATATAGCCCACTTTGGAGGCAACCCTGACCAGGTCACTATTTTTGGCGAGTCAGCAGGTGGCACAAGTGTGTCTTCACATGTTTTGTCCCCATTGTCCAAAGGACTCTTCCACAGAGCCATCATGGAAAGTGGAGTAGCCCTGCTGCCTGACCTTATCTCGGACACCCACGAGATGGTCTACTCTGTAAGTGCCCTCAACCATCATAGCCCTAGTCTTCTCCCTCAGCCTTCATGGTCTGGTAGTCTGGTCTTCTGTTCAGTGAGGGGAAACAATGATCATGGAAAACAGTTTCTTTCCAGTAATTTTGAGAAACACAGGGGTTAGGAGTTAGCCTCTTCTTCATACTGGATGGTTGGGCTATCTTACCAGCAAATTGCTCCTAGCAGCTTCCATCACTGACCAAAAAAAATACATCTTCTTTGAGAGATGGCTCTGTGGGTTTTTAAAAGTGCTTGGAGTGCAAGCTTGTGGACCTAAGTTCAAATCCCCAAAAGCCACAAAAGCCTGGAGATAGTAGCATGTATCTGTAATTCCAATATTCCTGTAGTCAGGTGGGAGGCAGAAACAGGGGAATCACTGGATATTCACGGAGCAGCTTAGCTAATGTAGGAGCAGTAAATCAAGAAGATCACCTGTCTAAAATAATGGGATATCTGTGAAGAAAGAAGACTTTGTCCTCTTACATTCACATACAACCATTGGCAAACTTACTCCTTCTCTCATACATGAAACACAGAAAGATGGGTGAAGTAAACATAACTACTCTAAGCAAAATCAACAACAAAAACAAATATGCAAGTTGAAAGGATATTGCTTGCTGGCTGTCTTCTTTGAGGAATAGGACAAAGGGAAAAATTTATATTTATTCCAATCCACACACAACACACACTATAGTGTGGTATTTAGCATCAAGGTTGTGTTGAAAAAAAATCTTATCCGCACTTCTTCCCTTTACAGACGGTGGCCAACCTGTCTGGATGTGAGGCCATAGACTCAGAGGCTTTTGTGCACTGTCTGAGAGGCAAGAGTGAAGCAGAGATTCTGATCATTAATAAGGTAGGTAGAATTGTGTGTCTGGGAAGATCTAGTCAGACTTTTTGTTCTTTAACTCTATGTATAATATGAATACCAAGAGAGGCTATTCCAAGTGTAGATTCTCTTCCAGAGTGAGCTGAGCACCCGGAGTCTAGCAAAAATGAGAAAATGGTGGTAGTAACTCAGTGTATCAGGCTATGTATTTTGTTGATCTTGAGCATTAACTCTTTATACCCCTCAGGTCTTCAAGATCATCCCTGCTGTTGTGGATGGGGCGTTCTTTCCCAGGCATCCCAAAGAGTTATTAGCATCTGTGGATTTTCACCCTGTCCCCAGCATCATTGGTGTCAACAATGATGAGTATGGTTGGACCATCCCCAAGGTGAGGCTCAATTACAACCCTCTGGGAGTCTGGAGACTCATATGTTAAGTAGTGGGAACTCAATACATCTCTAATCCAAGTCCATCAGATCCCACACTTCTGCCCCACCCCCAGGTCATGGGCTTCGCTCAGACAATAAAGGAAATAACCAGAGAGAACCTGCAGGATGTTTTGAAGAATACAGCAGCACAAATGGTGAGATACCTCTGGTCCTATTCAAATAGATAGGTCTCTCATATCTCCTTCTCAGACAGCAACCCTATTAATGAAGGTCAGTATATATGTGTGATTCTGTGTGGGGTGACATAAGACCATGAATATTTTTACCTACACCCTATCTCATCACAGACCACATTCTCCTCATACCAAAGGCTCTTGCCTACCTAACCAACAACATGTCTAACCTCATTCATCCTGATCTCCTTGGAGTAGATGCTGCCTCCTGAGTGTGCTGACCTGCTAATGGGAGAGTACATGGGGGACACTGAGGACCCACAAACCCTCCAAATACAGTTCACAGAGATGATGGGAGACTTCACGTTTGTGATCCCTGCACTCCAAGTAGCACATTTTCAGCGTGAGTACCTCTGTAACAAGGCTTAGGGGAGCAACTCAGAGATGTAGGTCACTGGCAAGCACTGTGGAGCAGTGTAAAATCCAGGTCTCATGTCTAGTTAAAGAGAGTGTCATCTTAGTATACAGGAGAAAATGGGTTGCTGATAATCTATTGACTTGACATAACCATTCAGCTGGGAAGGCCATGAGCACTGTTTTGCCATGGGCTTTTCCATAGCTCATGCTCCATCTTGGGACTTTCTCTCCTCTTTAACATTTATGATTCCAGGTAACTTTTGATCAAAGTACCTTGTCACCAAATATGTATCAGAAAAACTTTAGGTGAGGGGTCAATAAGTTACTTCTTGTCCCCATCTTCAGGTTCCCACAACCCCGTCTACTTCTATGAGTTCCAACATCAGCCCAGCTTTCTCAAGAGTCTCAGGCCACCCCATGTGAAGGCTGACCATGCTGATGAGGTTCCTTTTGTCTTTGGGTCCTTCTTCTTTGGCATGAAACGTGAGTCTTCCTTATTCTCCTTGAGCTGATGGAGGTCTCAGGTGACACCTCAGGGACTCCTGAGCTCTTAGTTCATTTGAAGAAAACTAGGTTCTGGGAGATGATAGAATCAAATGTGTACCATATCATAGCCTGAAAAAATCAGACCAAGATTAGAACCTGAACCTGTCCCAGTCTAGCCTGTGATGGAGATGACAGCACATTGGGGCACGAATTCAATTAGAGGCATGTGTGGATGTTGGGTATTGTACAGTGAAGAAGGGAGGTAAGAAAGCTGATAGTTTCAGGTCTGACAGTAGCTGGGACTGTGAGTGTTAAGCAGTTGTGTGTGGTGTCATGGACTTCAATATTTATTTTTCTCATGAGTCCAGTTTTCCTCACTGAGGAGGAAGAGCTACTGAACAGGAGGATGATGAAGTACTGGGCCAACTTTGCAAGATATGGGTGAGAACACACCTCTTTCTCAACCTTCTCTATGTGTTATAGGGATATGTGGGTCCCTACAGGTCTCCTATTGGGGTGGTTGTCTCTTTAGCATTCACGGATCTTCCATCATATAATAGTTTCTTCTCTACTGGATAGCACATTTATACATCCACTTTGTAGGTGTCAATTACTGGTCATCTCACAGGGACCAGGCTCATGAGCCATAGTGTACAGTTCTTTAGATTTTGCCTCTTAGATGTAGACGTAAAACAGGTCAAGCAATTTTCCCTACATGAAGCAGAAACTAGTGGGCAACACTTGTATTCCTATATCAGGACACTTTACCCATCAGCCCCTTTAAACACCAGCCTAATTGTACCACTGCCATGACCCAAATCAGGGGGTTAGTCTTTGGATCAGAGTGACCTCACCCTTCCCCACTGGCTGGCATATCCACAGGAACCCCAACAGCGAGGGTCAACCCTACTGGCCCATGTTGGACCATGATGAGCAGTACCTGCAGCTGAACATCAAGCCTGTTGTGGGCCGAGCCCTGAAGGCCAGAAGGCTGCAGTTCTGGACCAAGACTCTGCCCCAGAAGATCCAGGAGCTAAAGAGATCTGAGAACATGCACAAAGATCTCTAGTGCCCTGTGTGAGGAATGGTGTGTGGGCTTCGCTGCTGAAGGGTGTTTGGCTATAATCTCAGGCTCAGCTCCAATTCTCTCTCCAGACCTCGCCCTCTCAGAGAACCGCCAGAGGGGCCCAGTTCTTCATTTCCTGTGATGGCTACTGCTTCTCCCCTAAGGCTGCAAGCTTCTGAGGACCCTGCCTACCATGGTGGGACATGGGACCAGCTTGCGTAGGATTCGTCATCACCCCACCCTGTGCCTGCAGGGTATTTGGGCCCCCTTCTTCAGTGTGGCCTTGTCATTTCTTTTGCTCCCTTCCCCTGTCTCACCTCTGGGGGCTGGAAAGGTCACCAGGGAGTGCTTTGCCCAATAAACTTGGTCTTTCACTATTAATTCGGCTTGATCCGGTTTACTGTGTAGGCTGAGAAACCTATTAAAGGGGTACAAATACCTTTCATCTTGCTGCCTTGGGCAAGAAGACTAGTGCTTTCCCCGCTCGTTCCCCTGCCACACAGGAAGCTGCTCTTCTTTTTATCTCCCTTCTCCCAGACCGGATGACTCCTGGGCTCTGGTAAGCCATCCATTTCAGAGCCAAAGGTCACTTCAGAGTCAAGACCTCTTCTTGGTCAATGATGTGTCTGCGCCAGGCAACCAGCACCCATTTCAGGACAATGGAGCAGAGACCATCTCTGTTAAGTGGGGTCCTTTGTACAGGAGTCGTTCTCACAGTATAGAATGTATAACAATAGTTCCAATGAAATGACCACCAGTTCTTAATATCATTATACTGAGACAGTCCACCCACTCAGCTATGTATTTCACAAGTAGTGAGTGACACTTTTTTAAGGAGATCTGGACCCGTCCATTAGGTCCTCTAGCCTGAGACTGTGTGTGTGTGTGTGTGTGTGTGTGTGTGTGTGTGTGTGTGTGTGTGTGTGTGTGGTGTTGGAGTCTGTTGAAGTTTCTCCCCCACCACAGGGCCTGGAGATACTATGAGGTTCATGTCTACATTTTCCTGACATTTATGAATATGTTTGACTGTGAGATGTGTCCTGGAAGTCAGATGGGAGCATCAGAAGGTCCAGAAATTTCCAATAGAAAACCATCCTATCCCAGTCTCCCCCAGTACCTGTCCATGTATGGAAGGCTATTTCTAACTTTCACAGATCCCCCTCAAGTCTTTGGTTCCTGTGACACAATCATTCTCCTTCATCTCCCACATTATTAAATTTTTCTGAATTTATTTTCATCCCTAAAGTTTTTCTATGTCCTCTATTAAAAACTTTTACTTACTCTTTATGCCATCATACAAAGGTAAAAAAAAAAATGTGCTCAATCGGTCTCTGTGTTCCCTTAAAGCATTTCTGTCATTAAAGGCTTCTGTTCCTGTCCCACCACTGTAAGTATTGCCTGGTTACAGAAAATGACCAGTTCAGGCTCCATATCCTCCACTACTAGGAGTCTTCACTAGGGTCACACTCATAGATTCTGGGGAGTTTCCACTACAATAAGTTTCCACATTGCCTCCCAGTACCTCTAAATTCCAGGGATTTCTCCCAGTACCCCCTCCTTCTGTATATCCAGCCACATGTAATCCTTTCTGTTCCCAAATCCACACACTCCCTGTCTACCCACAAAATCTTTTCTATTTCCCCTTCCCAGGGAGATCCATACATCCCCCTTAACCCCTCCTTGTTACTTAGTTACTCTGGGTCTGTGGTTTGTAGCATGGTTATCCTTTACTTAACAGCTAATATCCACTTATCAGTGAGTGCATACCAGGTTTGTCTTTCTCCTTCTGGATTACCTTATGCAGCACAATTATTTCTAGTTCCATCCATTTGCCTGCAAATATCATGTCATTCCTCTCTATCAGCTGAGTCGTACTCCATTGTTAAATGTACCAAATTTTCTTTATCCAGTCTTCAGTTAAGAGACAACTAGGTTGTTTCCAATCTCTGAATATTATGAATAAAGCCTCTATGAACATATTTGAGCAAGTGTCCTTGTGGTCGGGTGGAGGGTCCCTTGGGTATATGCCCAAGAATAGTATAGCTGTGTACATTGATTCCCAGTTTTCTAAGGAACCACCATATGGACCTACAATTTGTTCTGCCACACATGCTGGGGTAATGTTGGTACATAACCTGTGGAAATGGCCTAGCAATAACTGATCCAACTTGAGGCCCATGCCACGAGAGGGAGCCCACACCTGACACTGCCTGGATGGCCAGGAAGGGGAGGTTGGATAGCCTGGAAAGCTAGGATAGAAGCAAATACAACTGGAAAAAAGGCAAATTAAATGATTCATAATGATATTCCATTATACGCTTAGATCAGTGCCTAGCCCAATCGTCAGAGAGGCTTCAACCAGAAACTGATGGGAGCAATTGCAGAGATTCACAGCCAAACATTAGGCAGAACTCAGAGATCACTGCCGAAGAGGGGGAGGAAGAATTATAGGAGCCAGAGGGGTCAAGGACACCACAAGAACATGGCCCACAGAATCAACTAAGCAGGACTTATAGGGGCTCACAGAGACTGCAGCGACAATCATAGAGGCTGCATGAGTCTGAGCTAGGTTCTCTGCCTATAAATTATGGTTTTGTAGCTTGGTTTTCTTGTGGTACTCCTAACAGTGGAAGTGAGGAGGGTCTCTGACTCTCTGGCCTGTTCTTAGGACCCTTTCCTCCTACTAGGTTGCCTCACCCAGTCTTGATCTGAGGGTTTGTGCCTAGTATTATTGGAATTTGTTATGCCCTGTTACCTTGATATCCCTGGCAGGTCTGCTCTTTTCTGAAGGGAAATGGAGGAGGAGTAGATCTGGGGCATATGGGGAGAGGTGCTCCTGGGAGGAGTGGAGGGAGGGGAAACTGAGGTCAGGATGTAAAGTATGAGAGAAGAATTGAAAGGGAGGCTCTGTCCCTCCTTCTTTAGAACTTGATCCTCTCCTACCTCCTCCATATAACTAACCTATGTTATGCCAGGGTACAAGTATTTAGAGGTTTCTTCTATGAACTTGAAGGCCAAAAATAGGACATCACCAAAATGATGATTCTTGCAATGCCAGTCTTCAACACCAAGAAACAGAGAGAGTTGAGGATGAGCTTCAGCTGGGCTCAGGAGCTGGGCAGAGAGAAAAGCCCTTCCTTTGAGTGCAGGAGGGCTGATAACTAGGATTTCCAGGAGAGCCTGAAGGCATTATTAAGTTCCTGCTGCACATACCTTTTTTGGGTTTTTTATGCCCGAGTTGGGAGCTCCCCCTCAACAAGACCACCAAGGAGCCAGATACCGATGCAAGAACAAAAGTTTTCTTTATTCAAACCAAGCTTGGGCAGGGACCTCGGCTGACACCTTGTTACCATGAGGGAGGAAGGAAGCCCTGAGCACTCATTACAAGGGGTTTATATAGGAAAAGTTTACAAGCAGTAGGTTATATATCTCAGGACTGGATGAGGGGGTGAGGGTTGAAGTAGTTCTTTGAAGTTACTGGCTGAACTATAAGTGTGAAATTACTAATGGTTGATAGGATGCAGGGTATCTACAGAGACATAATTTTTTTCACTCCCTATATCCTGTTTGCTGAGTCCAGGATATATACATTTAGATTTATTGTTCCAGCCCTATTTTCACGTGAGTTCAATCTCAGGTCAGCTCTAAACTTCTGGTCAGCTTCTGAGTTCACCTATAGATCAGCCTTCAGAAGGGGGCCGACTCTCAAGAGGGCTACTGATGTTTCCCCTTCAAGGTTTCCCCGGCATTTCTGCAAGTGCTCTGGACCCTGCCAAAGAGGTTTTTAGACTTTGAGTAGTGGTCTTGTTATTGAAAAACTTTATTGTTGAATGGTGTGTGCATTGCTTGGTTAATTCTCACAGAATCTGAGCTATTCAACCACCTTGACATCAAGTATGAGAGAGTTTCTGTCACTGGAAAGAGTTCCCTGTGTTATTTTATGTTACTCTTTTTCTGATTACTGATCATAGCAAATATTGACTGCTTTCTGATGGAATACTTTGGAAATGGCATATGATTTTAAAGATGAAGGCCCTGGCTATTCTATCATGGAAAAGGGATGATTGGTGACTCTTTCCATTCCTTATATAATGTCTTTGAGATTCGTGTGGAGTTGTCCTTTGACTGAGAGTGTCATATGAACACGTTTTACTCACTCCTGGCTGATGCGCTTCTAAGTGGTTTCCACTGTTTTGTTGTTGTTGCTGCTGCTATTAATGAAGTTCTTCTGGGACCAGCTCCAACAGAGATCAGGACATGAGACCGGTGGATATAGCAGGCGATATAAAGAAGTTGCACCGGATATCAGTTTGAATCTTCTTCTGAGCCTCTAGGAATATCTTATTTGTTACTATGCTCTGGAGGCAGTATATAGGAGACAACATATGTGTATATCTCTCTTCTGTATATGTATCTCTCTCTCTTCCCAGGGCCACAGAGTTTATTTTTATACCTTACAACAATGATTACATCAGTCTATATTTGCATTTCAAAATATAACTATTAAGTGACTTTTTCCTAACATGAAAGGATCAAAAGATCCTTAGAAAATCATAATCATAAAATTCAATGATCACAGTTCCTGGAGCAGGTAGACAAAGTTTATCTAGGCAAGGGAGGAGAGGCCTTTAATGTTTCCTCATGGTGAAACATAAGGGAATGGAAGGGTCAAACTGGAACATGGATGAAGTGGGAAAACAATGAAAGAGATACCAAGATAGAGGGAGACATCATGGGATGTCTGGGAGACTGGGTACTAGGGAAGTTCCAAGGAATCCACAAGGATGACCCCAGCTTAGACTACTAGCAATAGTGGAGAGGGTGCCTGAACTTGCTTGCCCTAGGAATCAGATCAGTGAATACCCTAACTGTCATCATAGAGCCTTTCTCCAATAACTGATGGAAGCAAATGCAGAGAGAGATCCACAGCCAAACACCAGGTCTAGCTCCAGGAGTCCAGTCAAAGACAGAGAGGAGGGATTCTATGAGCAATGGGCATCAAGATCATGATGGGGAAACCTACAGAGACAACCAAATCAAACTAGTAGGAACTCATGAAATTTAGACCAACACCTGTGGGACCTCCATGGGACTGGACTAGGCCCTTTGCATAAGCAAGACAGTTGTGTAGCTTGATCTGCTTAAGAGGCAGTAGGATCAGGATCCATCCCTGGTGCATGAGTGGGCTTTCTGGAGCCCACTACCTACGGGGAACACTTTGCACAGCCTTAAAGCAGGGGGAGGGGATTGGACCTGCCTCTACTGAATGTTCCAGGCTCTGCTGACTCCCCATGGGAAGCCTTACCTTCTTGTAGAAGGGAATGAGGGGTGGTTGGGCAGGGAAAGGCTGGAGGAGCAGGAGGAGGGAAGAGAGGCATCTGTGATTAGTTTGTAAAATGAATAAAAATTTCTTAATTTCTTAAAACTTAAAAATTTCTTAAAAATTTCTTAAAACTATTTCCTCATGGTCACCATTGCCAGACAATTAGAATCTAAAAGGCTAATTCTTAACTTACAATAAGCAAAACAAAAATTCTTGTCAAATTATGCTATTATCTATTTTAAACCTTCATATATATATGTATATATATATATCCTAATTTACATATCTATATAATTTCTGCAACATTCCTATCTTTCTTATTTTTATAATCTTCTAATAATTAACTCATAATGTGAAATCATATCCTTTTTCTTGATTCTTAATTTTCAAATTTGCATTTTATATCTACAAAAGCTTAATATCTTCACTACAAAATAAGGAGAAAATCTTTCCAAAATCATCTGTGGGTTTTTTTATATACTTTCACAATCTTGGTCTTCAACTCCATCTCTGGGGTCCAGTTAGAACATCCTATTCAGCCATTTCATCAATATTAATACTTTCAAATTTAGAGGTTTTATATTACTTTATTCATCTTATTTCCTTTCCCAAACATCTCAGACCAACAGTATTTGAGGGCAAAAGGGGAGAAATCAGTAAATCCAAAAACTACCATAGAAATGATTTTATTTTTTAAGTAATAAAACTAAAGGAGGAAATGGGGCTGTGTCCATCCAACCAGAAACTGGAACTTTGTCACACAGTTTTTTGAGCTAAGCAACAGTCATATGCTCTCTTTAGCTAAGTTATGGGAACTCAAACTTTGTCACGCAGTCTCCTTAGCCAAACAACAATCATACATTCTATTTAGCTAAGTGGTGAGTTGTGCCACCAAAGTTCTCATCAACTTTTTGGAACATGAGTATTTTGTTTTGTTTTGATTGTTTTTTTTTTTTTGTGATCAGGTTCTTTCATTTCCTTTTGCTAAGTCCCTGAAAGCAGAATTGCTCAATCAAGTGTGTGTTTAACTTTTGAAGAAATGGCAAACCTGTCTTTCAAGATGACTACATTCTTTAGTATCTCCTCCAATCACGTACAAGGGTGTCAATTGCTCCATATCTTTGCCAACAATAAATATATGAAATGTGTGTGGAGTGGTGTCTCATTGAAGGTGTTTCCATGAGCTTGGAGCCTCTTGCATTTAGATCTCTGTTTCAATGTCTGTCTGTCTGTTTTGTCTGTCTGTCTGTCTGTCTGTCTGTCTGTCTGTCTGTCTGTTGGTGAGACTGTCTCCCTGCCTCCCTCTACAGAAAAGAAATGGCTTGGCAGTCCTGACTTGGGTGCCTGCTCTTATCTGAAGAGGTAACTGAGAGAGTAGATCGAGTGGGGAGGGGAAGTAGGAGGGATCTAGGAGGCGTGGAGGGAGGGGAAATCATGGTTGGAATGTATTGTATGAGAGAAGAATATATTTTCCATAAAAAAAAGAGCTTGAGCATCTTCTCTGGCCCACATTTTTACCATGTCTTTGACCTCTGAATGATCATGCACAGAAAGGCAGA